AAAATGGATGCAAAAAATTTGAACAGTCACTGCCATTACAATTACATTTAACATTACAAATGTCACAGCACATATGCCATACTCATTTAGGATTTGATTTTGATTTGTAAGCTGAGAGTATGATATCCCTACGACATCTCTCTGTATTTAAAACATACGTTTTCATATCATCATCTAATGTTTTACACTGTTTACCAGTAAAAAGTAACAAAGCCATGGCCACTGCTCCGTCATGTCCTGCTCTACCAAACTGCTGGACAAATCCGTCCATATCTTTAGGTGGTCCATAGTTTATAGCATATTTAAGGACTTTAAAATTGACCCCATTCCTGCCGCACTTGTTGCAACTAAAACTCTGATGTTTCCGTCTTCTACACTCATGTCCTCTTTTATTTTTTTGTTTAACAGTGTCTGGTGATTGTGAATGGAACATTTCAACATGGACTATGAGATTCCCCAATTCCATTCGTAAGGACGAAAATAATTCACCGCATGTTTTGATAGAAGGGCAGAATATCGAAAATCTCTCGCAGAGTTTCTTATTCTTTTTTAATAAATGAATAAAAAAAAGCTCACAAAGCAACACAGTGCTCTTTGTTTTATGAACAAAAAGTTTGATAATTTCCCTGTCAGGGTTTTGCACTATTTCGTGGCAATCTACCATACACAACTTTTTCTGCATTTCCATTCGTGTTGATTTGTTAGCTGTTGCAGTTATTAAGAGCCATTCTCTGGAAACTTTATATAGGAGCAGTGGCACGAATAGTCTCAGAATTTCTCCAAACTCTCCATGATAAAAGTCATTGATAAACTTAACTGAAATCAGGCAAAAATTGGTTGCTATGCTTTATAGTTACCATGGCAACATGTCTTAAAGTTCGAAAAATGGCATTTTTCAACATGTTTAGAGCCCCCTAATTATCATTTGCAGCAAAGCAAACAATTGGCAATGACGGTTTCCAAAAGTTGAAGGTCGGATGTCTCAAATATAGGATAAACATGTTTGGTAAATTAACTATTACATACGTTACTATGGTAACAAAGTATTCAAAAGTAAGAAAAAATATTCATTGAATTTAATCAAGTCATACACGTAAAAATAAAAAGCAATTAGAGGATGAAATGTGACCATATAATAGAAAAAAGAGCCTTGAAACATATATCAAGATCAAAATATGATATTTCATTTATGTTGGCAATGGTTGCCAAGGTTTTTATATCACAGAAAGCCTTCAAAGTAATACTCTGTATTTTTAAATCTGATCCTATCTTTTAAAAAAGCAAATTTCCTCATAACTAATGACAAATATTTAAAGATGTTGGTGTGCTCCTAGTTTTCCCATTTGAAAAAATTCAGATTAGATTCTTTAAATAGAGCGTTGCTTTGGAAATAAGCAGAAAAAATATGCTTAAAAACCTGAAAAATATTTTCTTTCCTTGGATACGTACCCTTAAATGTAGATTCCTAAAATTTTTATGACGGATATTTATTAACAGCTAACCTGACTTTTAATTTTAACTATCATCCAATCTGTAAGTGGGTGCAAGAAGTTGGCACACAGGGTTTAATATCATTATAAAGTTAACAAAATCTAACATTTTCCCTTCTTGGTAACCATAGCAACAGTGTTGTTTTCTTCATCAAATTTTATCAATATATGATATTCAACTTCAGTTCTAACAGATAAATACTATTCAAGCTGAGTCCTTTAATTTGTTTCTTGATTATATGGCAATTTAATTCTTAATGCAGCGAAAAATAATTCAATTTTAAGCACTGGTACTTTGTTTCCATGGAAACACTGCAAAAGTAGCAATTATACCCAATTTTTCTTATGTTTTGGTGATGCAAGTTCCTAAGGATGAATATTTGCCAGTCTTAAATTTTCATGTTTTTCCTCAAGACAGTAGCATTAACCCAATCTTAGTTACTGGTTTTGCATGGTTACACTGTGTTACCATGGCAACCATAAAAGTCATTTATAGAATTATATTGCTTATACTTATATACTTAAGGTCAAACATTTTCATTGTTTTTCTTAAGTCGTAGATTGAGTTTGAGCATGTAACACCTGCCATTAGTGAATACGGAGTGTTTTTCAGCATATTTCAGCATTTTAAATGTATTCCATATGTACCCTTGGTTACCACTTACTTAGAGATATATTCTAAACAGTTTCTTTACAGTATAAGTGACATCAAGGTGTCATGTTTTGTCAGAATGGTTTGTTTGCTTTTTCTAGTTTTTATTAAGCCACAGTCAAGATTTAAAATGGCTGAAAATCTCGATTTTTCAAACTTTTCCGGCTGTTGCCATAGCAACCGAGACACATAGCAACGAAATTTTGTTTGATATTTGTTTCAGGTGTCGAGTATTAAGCATGGGTGAAGTTTCATCAAAATCGGTGACCATGCGTGGCAACGAAGTTCAAGTGGTTACAGAGAATGGCTACTAACAGGACAGCTAGGGCATTGTATAAGGGAACTGATTTCACATAGCTAGATGAACCATACACACCGAAAAACTCGTTCTCTGTTTCATTTTCACCACTGAAAATATTACAGTGTAACATATACTAGAATTCAGTTTCTTTGAAGATGTTTGATTTTCTTTTTGTTAATTGGTAATATAATATGTCTCCAAAGATTGATAAGTTTAAAAAGTTAAAATTCGACCATACCAATGCAATACAGTATGGGCCTCATCCAAAACAAATAATTTGAAGCGTTTACTTTCAGCCAGCATGTCTCTCCATTTACTCACGGACAAAATGAATTCGGGTGGAGCAAATAGGAATTGAAAATTGCCATTTATAATATTATCATCTTCGCTACAATCTCTACCAATGTATGTGGCTATATAATTACATGATTTCAAGTACTCTCACTGTTCTTTCAATATCGAAATCAATGGCGAAACGATAGGTACACTGCACTTGCACCCATTTTTTCCGTCCACATTGGCTGAAAACATTGATAACAAATGCTTTTACCTCCACCAGTTTTGATGGAAAAAGAATCCAGGCCTTTCAATAGTTGATCAATTGTTTCCTCTTGAAAAGGTTTCAACGTCTCTAAATTGAATTTGTCCCTCACCGCAGAAAATTTGTCCTCCATGTTTGTGTTATTGCCGAAACGTTATACGTAATGTAAACTCCGATTGGTTGGCATGAGCATCGAGACTGAAATGCGGCAAATCAAATGATGCGTGCATGTAATTGCATGATACGACGATATTTCAGCGATTTCGCCAACGGGTGATAAGTAAAAGACGAGATCACCCGTGGGTATCCGACGATGCCATATTCAACTTAACTATTCACTTGGTTACGTTATTTTTAATGCCCAGGAACAGATAAGAAGAACTTCAAAGAAATAATGCATTTTCAATATAATCTACATGTATTTAGCTCTGACATAGCACAAGAACCCCTGACCCAGGGGCCATGAATTTAATAATTTTGGCAGAGAACCCCATGCTGATTACAATCATCCAACAGTTTGTCTGCTGAATGTCCAGGAGTAAAATAATATTTCTAAATAATGTACTAATTTGAGAGGTTTTGGTCCCACCATGCACCCAGGGGTGGGGGGTGGGGGGGCTGGGACCATGAAATTCACAAATTCTGTTCTTCTTAACCTATAGATGCCATGTGCCAAAATTGGTTGAAATTGGTTCAGCGGTTGTAGAGAAGAAGAAAATGTTGAAAAATTTACTCAGGTGACCTAAAAACCTTAACCTAGGCCATAACTAGTGCTTGCATAATTTACATATATAATCCTTTTGGCAAGACCTTTTATCAGATGTCAAGAACTTTGACCTTGACCATGGAGTTTGAATTTTTTTTAAAAGTGCTTAACTTGGCCATAACCTTTGAACACTTAGGGCTAGGGCTTCCATATTGCACATTTTTTTATGGCAAGCTTTAAGACCTTTCATTGGATTGCAAAAACCCTGACATTTTGACCTTCACCTAGGAGATTTCTATACTTCTGAAAAACCGTTAACCTTTGTCAAAAGTTTTGAACGGTAAAGACTGGGGCTTTCATACTTCACATATGTTATCCTTGTGAGAAGTACCTTTATTGGATCGAACATTGACCTTGGAGTTTGACTTACTTTTAAAAATCTAACCTTGACATAATTTTGGAAGGATAAGGGCTAGTGATTTCATACCTTACATATTTCGTTCTTTTTGACGAGACCTTATATTTGATGTCAAAAACCTTGACACTTTGACCTTGGAGTTTTACCTTTAAATTTTTTTTTTTTAACCTTGGCCATACTTTTTAATGCTTTAGGCTTGGGTTTCTATACTTCACACATGTAATCTTTGTAACGTTAGAACTTTTTTAAGAAACCAACAAGGTTTAACCTTGGATATTGACCCTCCTTTCAAACTCTTATCCTTGGCCATAACTTTTGAACATCTGCTACATCTTTCATAGTTCATAATTGTGTTTCAAGTGAGAAGACCCTTCTTAAATTGGGTACCAATATGATAAATTTGCATTTAAGAAAAGTTTAATCTTCTCAATGTTGCCATATAAGGGGGCATCAGTGTTTCATTGACACAATTTGATTTTCTTGCAGTAATAAGTAATTATAAGCAAAATTGCGATAAATCTTGGTAGGAAACGGGGGCTATTTATCATTTTATTGCAAATGGTCTCTCCTAGAAAATATCGATAGTTTCAATGTGTGTTTCCTCGTTCTACTTATCGTGCCAAGTGTTGCCATTTACAATACGTGTCATACAGATAACATTCCTGCAGTGTTAAGTTTTGTAGTATTTATATTGATAAAGATAGGACAACATATGCTTAAAAGAGGGTTTAACTAGTTAACTAAAAAAGGAAATAATGCGCGCCATGTTAAGTTTATGAAAAATAAGCATTGAATTTTCAAAATAATCTCCCATGTATACATGTACCTGGACTATTTTATTTATTTATAAGTAATACAATATTCCATGATCTTTTTAACATGATTCCAGGTTTGACGAGAAAACAGCCATGAAATCGTTATGGATATTTTATCTGGGCATTATTCCACTGTGTATAGTGAAATGCGAGTACAGAACATGTGAGTAGTACTTTTAATCCATCTTGATTACTCCCTACTAATGTTATTATAATGTTATTTTAATTGAAGAAATAGAGTAGGTTCAAAGTTGATAGGGGGGAATCAATCTTGCAGAGAAATATTTCCCCTCTATCCCCCCTTCCCTCCCGGAAAACAGGTTCAAGATTAGCTCTCCCTCCCTTTCGAAAAATAGAATCTAGAGTAGAATTTACCCCATGGAAAATGACTCTTGTGTAGGATTTTTTCCACCAGACTCAAATATAGTGGAAAATCCTATTCTGTGTATTTATAGAGAGCTATTCGGGGGAGGGGGTTGCGAGTAGTCAAGGTGGATTGGGGTTGAAAATGATTTTTTTAGATCGACCCTGTGTAAATTCGGGCTGATGTTGCTTTCCTTCCTCTTTTTGTATATACGGTGATTACGTAAAATCTAATATGGTATGTTACCAGCTCCTTTGAATTCTGTCTATCGGATTTGGATAACATTTAAGAACTGTGTTGATATTGTTACTAAAATCAATTTTTTTGTAATATAAAGGAACCGTCGTAGGGGTGTTTTTTACAATATATTTATTTACTACAACATATATACAAATACAAACACAGTGGGTTCTGGCCCGAACTGACTCTCCGCTCCACTGCTCTCCACTGCTATCCCAGACACGTCCTGTCAGCTCGGCATCGACGTGTAGAAGAGAGAGCGTGCGACTATCCCGCCGTCTGACGTAAAAGAGACTAATAGAATCATTCATTACTAGTGAAATTCCACCGAGGGGAAAATATTCAAAGTCTAGGTCGAGGGTTTGCCGAGTCCTAGACCATGAATCTTGGCCCCGAGGTGGAATTTCACTATTCCCAAACGAGTATGTAATGAATGATTATTTTTCTCGCATTATTTTATCATAAATAACGGCCTGTCAATGACGTCGCCATAGGGCTAAAAATATATTCTTTTAATTTTTCATCCAATTAAAAAGCTAAATACACCATCGGAGACAGCGTACCTGAAAATGGTATACACTTATTGCAAACTAATAAAATGAATTTCAGTGCATGTAAATTTATAAGATAGATTAAAACTGGGAATAAAAATACTTATCTATCCGATGGCGTAAAAATTCATTCTAGAAGAATTCTTCCGCGATTTAAATATAGTGCCATTTAAAAGTGAAAATACGACAATAATTTGAATGAAAATAAGTTTATTCTTATAAGTTAAAAGACAACATTTAAATTATATGTGATATTTTTTTTAACATTGTTACAATTTCTTTATATCAAGACGGGTATCGTTTGCGGCGTAGTAATACACAGTATAAGATAGAAAAATTTCACACTGCTGTCTCACACCGGACAAGTCAATCTAACACTAGTTATGCGAGAAAGTAAGATTCCACGGGAAAGTCGCACAGATATTACACTCTCACGGATGACCATGGATTACCCATCCCTGCATTCGACATCAGAACCAAATGGCTCCATCCTTCAAAGATCTTGGGGTTCTTTACCAACTATGGCTGGTCCAAGCGGCTCCAGAGTGGAGTGGGGAGTTACAGTCCCCACCTCCTATTCCATGGTGACCACTCGATCCTCAGCCAAGCAAAGCTCCGGTGATGGTGGCAAAGTGATCTTTCAGCCTGTGGAGCTTGCGCCGGCGGTGCACACAGGAGCAGGAAATAGTGATCCCCTGCTCCTTGGAATCCGACCCTGGGAACGTCTCTACAGGAAGTCCTCCCATACTGGTCCCGCCCCTTTGCCCGTCTTCCCTGCAGCTAGGGTGGAGAAATCTCTACGGAAGTGCACCACCTCTCCACACTTGAAACATACAGCAGGCTTTCGGTCCCGCCCCGTCCATTTTGCTGACAGGGCACTTCTCTGATCTCTCTGAGGAGGGGCAGCTTCCTCGAGTTTTTCTATCCTGCTCCAGAGGGCTTCGAGCTCCCCTTAGCAGCAACATTTATTTTACCGGATCACTCTGCTGCATGTCTTGAGCAGAATCCAGCTTTCTCACTTCCTAGACTGCTAAGGGCTGTGGAGGCCGGAGTGCTGATAGTATTGCATGCGCTCCATGGCTTCCTTCTCCGTCCGGGGATGCCCATCAAAAGCGTAAAGGCCAGCATCTCTGTCCTCAGCTCCATAGCATAGCCGAGGTATATCGTGAGTGTGCACATAAGGCACACTGGATGCCCATCAAACGCGTAAAGGCCAGCATCTCTGTCCTCAGCTCCATAGCATAGCCGAGGTATAGCGTGAGTGTGCACATAAGGCACACATGGGGAAGGCTCGAATCCCCAAGGTCAAGACTCTGTAGGCCCACTGACTCAGTGACTCTCCTGGGTTTTGGTTGGCAGACTGGAAGCCAAAAACTGATGACATAAAAAGGCATCAGTTTTCATCTTTGTACGACTTTCTACATTCCTGTACGCCCTTGTCCGACATATTTGTTCGATTCCGCCATATTTAAAGCTGAACACTTCTCATAAATTGGCACTGTCAGACGGGTATATAAACCGTTCGCTTTCGTTACACCCGATTGCACACTCGAAACTTGTGACCGACATGTAGTATTCCTATCGTGTTCTTATATTTTTTACGTTTATTTCTTGTTTTTATGTGCATTTTCTGTTTGTAAATAATGTATTGATCTGCATCTTCCATGACACTTTTGTCCTGTTTCGGAAAAAATGCGTAAAATTTGATAATTTCATCGATATTGAGTAGCACGCTTTGTAAGATGTACGTCTACACTCGTCGGATCACTACAGTGAAATACATTGAACTGAATAGCGATCTGCTCCTTATATACGAGTTGTAGGGAGAGCGTTGAAGAACGGGAAATATGGCGGACTATGCCTATTTACGAGTAGTGTTCAGCTTTAATCGAAGATTTTCGGTCACCTGTACCTGTTATATATAGCCTTCTAGAATTGTTTCACTTGAGTGATTTTCAAGTCTGGCTGTCGACATGTACACATCTCCGATAGCATAGTTTTTAGAAGTCCATAAACTGACCAATACATGTTTGAAAAGTAAAAATTCAACAAAAAATAGAAATATACCGAGAATTAAATTATTTTTGAATGCATTTGCTCCAATATAAAAAGTACACTAACACGGAAAATATTTATGTGCAATGTACAGCAAAAATCCATGCAGGTCGAGAAAACGCGTCAAACGCAGTGATAAAACATTTACCTGAATAATGCTATCGTTACAGGGATGTGCACATTTCAAAAGAATAATCCTATTTTACTTTTATTGAAAAATGCATCTCAGAAGTCATGTAATCCATTGCTAACTCAATAGTAAAAGATGCTTGGACACACGTGGCCCATGCCGATCATTTTATTTGGACAGGGAAAATATCAAAGGTTGAAAGCTCAGTGGGGTTGATTGAAATTCTTTTTTTCAAAACAAAAATAAACATTACTCTTGTTCGTAAATGTAGTAAATAAAATTTATGATTACATGGTTTAACTTCATTAAATTTATGATAAAGCATGCATTATTACGAATCATTCACCTTTTGAAGATATTTTTCTGTGATAGGAGGGGAGGGGGGGGGGTAATAAAACATGCATATTAACACTCTCATAAAAATAATTTAAGAAAAACGTCTGAAACAGTTTAATTATTATCAAATAAATACTATGTATACGCTTTATCAGACCTAATATAATTTGATTTAAAGTTATTTATAATTTTATGCACAATGAAAGAAAAAAAGTGTGCAAGTTCACATACCCCACGCTCCCTCAAAAGTCGAAGTGCTGAAATTCCCAGAAAAAATAAAGGAATCGTAATTTCCATGTAATATGCTCATCTATACACATTGTGTCCTAAATATCTGCAAAGTTTGACGAAATTGTGTGAGGCGGTTTATGAGGTATTGCGCTGACAAACTGCTCATCTCTATATGCAAGATATGGCCAAAATCTAAATGTAAAAGTGCGGAAATTCCCGAAAAAATAAAGAATTCGGAATTTTCTGGTGATGTGCAAATCTACACACACACATTGTCTCCTATGAATATCTGCAAAGTTCGACAAAACTCTGTGCAATGGTTTATTAGAAGTTGATCTGACCAAAAAAAAGAAAGAAAAAAGACTGACTGACGGGTCCAAAACATTATACCTCACGCAATTTATTGCGAGGGGTATAATAAACGAGTTTGATTCTGTGGTGCAATGATAATGAAAATAGAATTTATGTGAATTAAATTTCTAGACATAAAAAATTAATGATTATCAGAAAAAACATATTAGGAAGAGAGAGCAAACTCCTCATAAGAATTCCACATTCTACCTACAATTAGCTTTTTAAAAAATCTATTGTCTGTTGTCCAGGTCCAGGTTCGACACGTACGTTTGAGAAGGTATTTGAGAAAGTTCCCAATGTTCCCATTCCTGTGATGTAATTTCACATTTATCATATCCCCCGCTTGAAAAGTGGGAGGGTATATAGTAATCGTTATGTTCGTTCGTCTGTCCGTGCGTCTGTCTCTTACGCTTTGGGGTACCAATCTCTTATCCGCAAATCATCTTGTACCACTTAGTGAAATTTAATGAAACTTTCACAGAATCTTAGGTTTATTACATATTACCATTGTGCAACTCCTATTTTACTCAGGGGTGTAGCAACGGGGGGGGGGGGGGGGGGGGGGGCCCCCCAACTTTTTTCCGCGACCTTACATATACTTTAGGAAATGTTTATTGAAGGTGTGCATGGTTTTGTTTTGTTTTTGTTTTTTTTGTGCTTGTCAACTTTTTCAGGTAATTAAAAAAATTCTCTGATTGGCCACCACTTTCAAATACGATGCTACGTGCCTGCTTTTTGATTCGACACATATTTTGGGTTTAGCGACAACAGCAAAATATGGACTTTGCCATTAAAACCATATGAGAGGCGGGGTATCATTTAGTGAGCTCATTGCTCACAATACGTCTAGTTTCTCTTTCAATTAATATTTGGGCATTTGGGTTAATTTCTTGTCCAAATTA